GCGTTGCTCTAATATGCTCCAATATGTTTCTATAATAGCACTTACTCACTTCAACGAATTCGTTGGATTGCGATGCGAATAAATCTAGTAAGTTTTGTGAGGAATTTTGACAGAGTGAAAAAAAGATGAAAAGAGAAAGAAGTTTAGATGGTAACCGTGGTAACGTTTGGTAACTTATTTATTTCACGCATGCGCACTCCATTTTGGCCAACACACATCAAAGGTGAGAGTTGCGCTACTGTATATACTGTGTTATAGTCGACTTCGTGTTATTTGAGAATCATGTTATTTCTATCGCTATCGCTATTCCTTCGCGGCTACGTTCAGGAATTATGCCTACATAACTCTAGGGTGCATTTTTGCTATAATGTACATAACGTAATCTATAGTTTAGAGTATCTAAACTATAGAGTTATCTGGGAATTCCTGAACGGAGTCCATTGCATTTAGGCCTTTATTCATCTGCTTACAGCTATCTATTGGCCGCAGCACATACTCTTGCATAACGCATCATGCATAGTGCATAAGGGAATCAACTAATCGAAAATTTTTATTTCCAGAAATGGGAGGAAAAGACAGATTCTACTTAGTTGATTTGCTTATGCACTATGCGTTAGGCGTTACGCAAAAGGCTGTGCTGCGGCCTTAGACGGGAAGCACAGACTCATACATAACGCATAATGCATAGTGCATAAGGAAATCATCCAATCAAAATTCTCCTTTTCCGTAAAATGGGAGGAAAGGAAAGATTTTGATTGATTGATTCGTTTATGCACTATGTATTATGCGTTATGCAAAAGTCTGTGTCGCGCCTTATGGACTTTCTAAAATAAGCCATTAGTCATAAATCATAAGTCAGAAGCTAAAAATTGACCAACCACAGTCGTCAGTTTTTAACTTTTGACTTCTGATTTATGATTAATGGCTTATTGTAGAAGGTCCATTAAAGCGGAGAGCAGACTCTTGTACAACGCATAACACGTAAAGCATAAAAAATTCAACCAATCAGAGTTCTTCATTTCATGGATAGAAAAGAAACGAAGGACTTTAATTGGTTTATTTTCTTATGCATTACGTGTTATATATTATGCAAAAGTCTGTGCTCCCCTGCCTTAACTCTTTTTTTTCTTCGCACTCGTTCTCCGACAATAGTTGTATTCCAAAATTGATTGTTGACCAGCGCTGCAAGTTTGTCGTCATAAAAATATGCTACCAACAGCGTTCCAATTTTAGTACGCATGCAATTGGTGCGAATATGCATTTCAAATTAAAACGATACTCGCCATCTTGGATGCTGTCGTCGCCTCTTCAACCGCAGCAGGAAATGACGATAAAATTATTAGTAGTATAAATAAGTTTCCGCCATTTTTTATCAAAAATTGGGCATTTATTGTGAAAGAACGGTACCTAATGTTTTATTCGAAGTATTGTCCATCGCTAGCCACTACTTTTTCCTATCTTTCTGGCAGCATACGGATACCGCGTCGGAAAAATGCTTCATCTTTTGAAGCTATCCACGACCCAATTTTTGGTATCTTTATATGATGTGAAGTGTTGCTCAGATAGGCCATGCGCCATCGATCGAAACAGGTAGTAATCAGAAGGATCAATGTCTGAATACGGCGGGTGGGGTAAAACTTCCCAATTGAGTGTTTCTAAGTAGGTTTTGATCGGCGCCGCAACATGTGGACGAGCATTGTCATGCAGAAGAATAACTTTGTCGTGTCTGGAGTAGTAGTGGGCGCGTTTTTCCTTGAGTGCTCGGTTCAATCTCATCAATTGTGTTCGGTAGAGAGCCCCAGTAATGATTTCGTTCGGTTTGAGCAACTCATAATAAACGACACCTAGTTGATCCCACCAAATACACAACATGAGCTTTTTCCCATGAATGTTCGGCTTTGCTGTCGATGTTGAAGCATGGCCAGGTGGTCCCCATGATTTCTTCTTCTTTGGGTTATCGTAGTGGATCCATTTTTCATCACCAGTGACTACACGGTGACTACACGGCAAAAAACCTTTTCGTTTATGCCTGGCAAGCAGCATTTTACATGTGAAAAATCGGCGTTCAACGTTTCTCGGCTTCAGTTCATATGGAACCCAATTTCCTTGTTTTTGAATCATTCTCAACAATTTTAAGCGATGTAAAATTGCTGGTTGAGTCACTCCTAATGTAAGTGCAAGTGCTTCTTGCGTTTGGCACGAATCTTCATCCAATAATGCTTCCAATTCCGCGTCTTCGTACACTTTCGGCCTTCCGCTACGTTCTTTGTCTTCGACGTCAAATTCATTGTTCTTAAACTTTTGAACCCACTCACGGCAACTTCTCTCACTTAAGGCAACCTCACCATATGCTTCTACAAGCATTCGATGCGCCTCAGCTGCAGATTTCTTCAAATTAAAGAAGTAAATTAAAAGCTCCCGCAAATGATGCTTATTCGGCTCAAAACTCGACATTTTTGCACGAAAAAAAATGTAAGATGCTGATGTAAAA